TTTTAATCTCGACGATTCACTTGTACATAACACACAGAAAAAATACAGAATTAACAATGCGAACTTAAACCCAACGAAACTAAAATACAACGAAAGGAATACGAGAAACTACAGGAAAATACAAACGAAAGCGTAACTACTTACAAGATCTGTACGGCACTCCGGAATAACAACGACTGAATGAAAATCACAACTACGATGTTATATAGCAGATAAAAGGCTAAAACAATAGACTAAACAAGGCTACACAATACTCAAAGGCGATTGCATGAAACAACGCTGACAAACTTAATTTACATTTTGACAGCACGAAAAAATACAAACTAATAAATACAGAACTGAACTATCGAGACGAGAACTATTTACGCTAATTACAATTAACAAAGACGAACGACAGAACTGATAAGAAAAAATAATAATAATAATAATAATAATAACTCTCGTGGCTACACATACTATGAAGTTATATTGCGCAAAGCGTTATGCGGCTTTAACTAGAAGACTGGAACTGAATTCTCGACTGTAATAGTTATCGGCAGACAGTTGGGTTCATTTTTGTTTATAAAACAAAAGATAAATTAATAAATAAAATGTTATTTATGGATGCGTTTTATCAATGTTAATTTCTCTAAAAATTTTGCAATAGTTTTGGTCAATTGATCACAAGACTTTTTGTCCCATCGTCCGGTCAGTAATCATACACGAGAATAGCAATAGTTACCTTGTAGCGGGCAGTGCCCTTGGTCGATATGAAGCTAGTCCTGTGTTCGAACTGGCTACCTTGGCGGGCAGGATGGGCTCGGGATTGCCCGCTTTGATCCCGCGCAAGAAAAACATTCGTGTAGTGGACTTAACAAAGATCGTAATTTTTCGAAAAATCAGCGGAAGAAGACAGTCAAAACGAAAAACGTAAACGACTCTCGTGGTTTCATTGTGCTCTTTTGCGTTTTTACGGACCTCGACTTCGGCTTGGTCAATAAAGGCAAAAACTTAACTCGGTCGATATCTAGCGATCTTGAACCCACGCTTGGTCAGTGAAACAATAATGGCGGATAGACATGTGATATGTTACTCTTCGATATTTTATCTTCTAATGTGTCTTCTTAGCCTTCATTTGAGTGGAAAATCCTTGAACTCTACTTCTAAAGGTATTGGCTATGACCTTACAACGTTGATTGTGACCAGGGATGTCTCGACGCCAAGGATTGAATCCATCTTTTTGCATCCAAAGAAGTCAGCAAAAGCAAGTGCCATGGCGTCGCACACAAAGTTATTATTATTATTACTATTATTATTATTATTATTATTATTATTATTATTATTATCATTATTGGCGACTGGCATCTTGCGTTTTTGGCCTTGCAGCAAATCTAGTTATTCTATCCAATGATGTCTCCCTAAATCCAGGTCCTGCTGGACCTTTGCCGCAGGTTACACCAAGCAGCCTAAGTGATGAGTCTTTTTCGCTTGATGGAAGTACGCTGTCGAGTTCGCATATTGGTTTGTATGACACCTTTGACTCTTCGGTGGAATTAGACCACTGCGAGTTGTATCCTCTCTTTGATCTCGGTTTGGATGATAAAGGTTTAAGGATTGGTCACTGGAACGTTAATCGCTTAACTTCAACAAAGTTTGATCAGATCAGAATATCGAAAGATGGTGGTGGTGTATTGGCCTTTGTCAATCAAGATCTGCGTGTAAAACGTAGGGCTGACTTGGGGAATGCTCACTTAGGGATTATTTGGCTGTTGGTTTTCCTTTCAAGTCAAAAAGGTCTCTGTTTATTTCAGGAATTTACCGTCGAAGTCCGCCTTCGTACTCTTCGGCTGACGATACTTGCTTAGAGCCAAACATTGAACAGGCCTATCACCTGAACAAAGAAACGATCTCACTGGGCGATTTCAACATCGACGCACTCGATCGGTCAAAATTTGAAAAACAACATTTTTTGCAAGGGTTTGAAGACTATGAATTTTAATCAACTCATAAACGTACCAACACGACCAATTAGCGGAACCTGTCTGGATCACATTTTTCCAATCAGCCCCAAAGGATACAGAGTATCACTTGTCCAGTAATTGGTCTTTCTGATCATTTTCCTGTGTTTGCGGTAAGAAAGTATAACAATGCACATGAGCGTTGTATTCGTAACGCGTCAAAGGGCAGCACCTTTATTCGATATCGCAACATGAAAAGGTTTGATGAGGAACAATTCAAGTTAACTCTTCAGCACACCCCCTGGGATACTGTCTTTGTTTTTGACGAAATAGACGACATGCTGGAATCTTGGGAGAGTTTATTCAATAACGCGGTTGATCAACATTGTCCGTGGAGAAATAAGTGGGTAGCACTTGTCCATCAAACACCTTGGATGTCTAATGCTATTATTGATCAGTTGAGGCTGAGGGACACCTTGTTGAAAAAATCTAAGCGTTCAAACAATCCTGACGATTAGGCTGGATACAAGAAGGTCAGGAATAAAGCAGTTGGCATGCTAAAGAGTGGTAAATGAAAGTATTATGCCTCAAAACTTGAGAATAATAAAAACAATGCCAAAGAAATGTGGAAAACAATCAAATCAATTTCTGAATTGAGCAAACAGTCTTAGCGTTTAAACAACCTTAAAGTTGGTGGGTGTCTCTTAGAGGACAATGAAAAAGTTGCTTCTGAGTTTAATGCTCATTTTACATCTATTGCAGATCAGCATCGGTCACTACTTCCTCAATCTAATTTTGAAATATCTAAACTTCAAAACTTTTTCATCTCAAGAAAGGACGCTAGCACCACTTTCTCCATACCACCTATCACAGAGAGCAAGATCATCGATTGTCTCAAGAACATTAGCTCAAACAAGGCCTGTGGTATTGATAATATCAGACGAGTGCGCGAATGCTGAAAGTAGCAGCTCTTATTATTGCTCCGATCCATCCATTGCTATACTAATTAATTATTCCTTCGTAACATCAGTTTTTCGTCAGCGCTGGAAGACTGCAAAAGTCACTCCGTTATTTAAAGGTGGGGGTCCAGAAAACGTAAAAAACTATCGTCCGATATCAGTGTTGCCAGTACTTTCCGAGGTGATTGAGAGGCATGTACACGACTCACGTTATATTTATTTGAGTGTCAATAATTTAACTTATTCTAAGCATGTCTGGCTTTTGTAAGCGTCACAGTACTGAAACTGCTCTTATTGGAATTATCGACGAACTGCTGTTCAACCTTAGCAATGATCACGTTAGTGGTATGGTTTTAATTGATTTTTGCAAGGCTTTCGACATGGTTGATCACTCGATTCTATTGCAAAAACTTCAAGCATGTGGGCTTGACAACAGATCATTAATTAATCTGGTTTCGATCATATCTGAATGAAAGGCGCCAGTTGGTGTCTATGGGTAACATTGAATCCCCAACTGCTTGTGTTCGTCATGGCGTACCTAAGGGCTCAATTCTGGGTCCCTTGCTTTTCATCGCCTTTATTAACGATCTTCCACTATATGTGAGCTCGGCTCAAATTGACCTATACGCAGACGACACGACATTAACATCCGCTGCTAACTTTGACTCCGTTGATGTTCTTCAAAGTTCACTGACTACAGCAATTTCTGAGGTCGACCAATGGGCAACAGCTAATAAACTTCCTCTCAATGAGAGCGGGACAAAAGTGCTTACCATTACTGGCAAGCGACTTTCTAACAGAATTAACCATGATCTTGGAAAACAATGGTCAATGGAAAACAACTCGAGAATGTTGGTTAAGCATTTATCCCACATGTGGAGAATTGAGTAAAAAGCTCTCGCAGCGGATAGGCATTTTAAAGAGTCTTAAACATTGTCTACCTCTAAAACATCGACTTATTTTCTATAACACCATTATAAGACCGGTAATTGATTATGTAAATGTGGTTTGGACGACCTGTGATAAACATTGCCTTAAGCGTGTGCTAAAGTTGCAGAAGAGGGCTGCTAGAGTTATTCAAGACGCCGATTGTCAAGCCTCCTCCGTCAAACTGTTCAGTAAACTAAACTGGATGCCCTTTTTCGAACAGGCTAAACTAACTAAATGCTGTATAATATACAAGCGTGTACAGAGGCATGTACCTACCTATCTTAAAAGTTTACTTAAGTTTACTAGCGACACTCATTCACGGCAGACTAGGTATGCCAACTTCAATATTGCTCACCCTGTTATCAAACGTAAAACTGAAGGAGGAAAAACATCGACTGTGACTGCCTGTCAAGCCTGGAACAGCTTGCCGCTATCCATGCGGAAAATAGCGTCGCTAAATTCTATTATGAACTCTCTTTGAAAAAAAAATTTTTGAAGAGCAGCAGCATTTTGTTCTGTGATTAGGTCGTACTTTTATACTATTAATTGATTTTTATCTCTTATCTCTTGTATTTTATTCGTTATATTATCTCATAGTTATGCCATAGTTTTTAACATCCGTATTGTACATAATTTTAGAGGGCCACGGGTTTGTTAGTATTTTTATACTATTTTAGTGCTACCCTCTTTAAATAAATTCTTTACTTACTTACTTAGTAACGCATACATCACACTCTTGCTTGAAGTGGTCCGATTTTCTTAATTACTCGTCTAATTCGCAGATCGAATTGGACTCCGCCCGCTTCTATAGCCATTATTTATAGCTGCCGATCAAATCAACTTTTCATTCATCAATATTTTCAAACCTTTTCAACATTCGATTCCTTGTAAGTTGTCCAAGTTACACCGTCTGTGGATATATGCAATTTGTAGCTGGCGGTCCATTCACCACTATAGCTCCGTGCTCCCTGCGTAGCAACAGCACATAAGGACAGCACCGCACCCATATCAACTTGAAGATAGTCTGTTCTGTCAAATTTAGTCTTAGCACACCAACCCCCATATCCCCTGGTTTCATTCAGTCGGCCGTAGTATGGATGATAGTCTGTACTAAAGAATGTGCTGGCTTTCAGAGCGGCATCTGGAATTTTATTTTTGTCCACCACACCGACGGGCCCACATTCTAAATGATAGTTAATGGAAAAAATGTTAAAGCCTATGCGCATGGCTTCTTAAAACCTGCTTTTATTGTTTTGCATTGGTTTTAGAAAGGTTTAATTAACCAGCACAGACTTTAGGTTCGGATCAAGCTGTGATGGATTTTAAAAATAAAAATAAAGAAAATAATAATGATAATAATAATAATAGTAATTGTAATAATGATAGTAATGATAGTAGTAATGATAATAACAATAATTATAATGATAATAGTAATAGTAAGAAAAATAATAATGATTTTAATAATAAGAAGAATAGTAGGTATATTCCCTATTATTGTTCCTGATGCTCGCTGTTATTCTTGCGTCCAGATTCATTGCAATTGAGGAGGATGATTTACACAAAGGTTACAGCTGACATGCATTAGTTGAGCCTCATACGTCTTACAGCCATTGCGAAAGGAAAGAAAAATTGATAAATCATTTTCTTAGAACCACAACCGTAATTAAAAAATTCCAAACATGGCAAATCCCCTGCCGCTCACAACTATTTGGATTTTTGTTACGTCATGAAAAAATCTATGAATCACCGTCCAGTGACAAAATATCAAATTAAGCCATTCCTTACCTTTCGCAACAGTCACGATCAGTTGCATTAAAGAAGACGTTTTAAACAATCCTTGTGAGGTGGCTGTACAAATGTATATACCCGAGTCTTCGTCCTTAACATTCCACATCTGAAGTGTTCCATTCGCTCTAACTTGTGATCTTCCAACTGGCAGCTCACTGTTATCTTTAACCCACGTGATTATCGGTTGAGGGTCACCAGTAGCCTGACAAGGGACTGAAATGTTTTCGCCTTTTCCTACATCAAGCTGTGCAGGTGGATTGATTGTAAAACGGGGCAGATCTAAGACACCAAGATTTGTCAAAGCTGAGTCATGCCCCAGGATATTGGAGGCTTTGCATTCGTACAAACCAGAATCCCTTTTCTGAGCACGGATAATCAACAACTGTCCGTCTTTCATAACAGTTCTGGAATGTGCGAGTTCACCGCGCATTCTAGACCATGTGATGACTGCCGAAGGAAAACTGGTCACGTGACATTTTGGTAACGTGACGTTCTTGCCCTTTTCAACATAAGTCGGGCCAAAGGAGAGAGAAACTTTAGGTTTACCTGTAGATGAATGGAATGATCATCGTTACGTAAATTGGTATCTAGTAAATTGCTTGTCAGGCTCTTATTAAGCGAAGGTCCGCATAAGAGATGGGTATAAAACAATAGACCCGATCCAGAAACGGCAGTTAAGCATCAAAGCTTTAGTACCTTCACCAAATCAAAATATTTGAGGCTCGTTGGCTGTTTACAGCTTAGCCGCGAAATCTAAGTTTTTAAATACATGAAAAAGGATAGCAAAGGCATTTTTGATGGTTTTGACGATATCTATCTCTTAGCAATGTTAAAAACTACATGACAGTCGAACGAAAGACTCTTTCAAAATGGAGAAGATTGTTTTTTTACATCTCTGTTACACATTTAAATAACTATTAGACACCTCGCGGTGAGTCACTCTCATAATGATTGTTCTTTGACACGAATCTATTGATAGTGGCAAAATCCGATCCGATCAGAAAGGAACGTAACAGGGTTGCATTTCCAAACTAATAAAGAAAATATGAAAACAAGGATTGTTGTAAACTGCTCTTAGAATGAACCGTCTGATCAAAAGCTCACGTTCGAATGTATTTATGGTATGCAGAAGATAAGCGTCCTCTGTTTTGATGTTCAAACTACCATTTATTTATTTATTCATTTATTTCTATATTATAATTCCCAAAGGTTTCCCAACACTGTCTCTAACAGACTCAAAAGTTTAAGAAGGAAAAAAGATTCCCCTGCGTTGAACTCCAGTCCACGTGCTTAGGTTGTATCAAGTTCGGGACCGGAAAAACAGTTTGATTCAATGCGGCAAGAGCCTCAGGCCATTGATTCTCAGCATAAGTGCGTTCCGTATTACCTTTAAAAGCATCATTTACGTCTTTATAACGGTGAAAATATGATACAAACACCACAGAAACCTCAAAGAAAAATTGCAATCCAATATGGCGGACGAAAGTGAAGATATCCTTTCTACGATTTGAGCCAGTTCCCCATATCCCATGGTAACAACACTTGGCATCTACAATGTTGACGACACTAGTAACGAAATGAGCACTTGAATAGTAAAAACAATCATTTCATTTGCTATTTTTTTCCCAGATTTCGACTTTAAGCCGATCAATGACCAGGATTTTAATTCAATTAGCAAATCAGCTGATGAAAGTTTTGGATCGGGGATGCCTACTTCTTGAAAAACAGCCTATCTTTGGAGTTGAAGTTTTTATTAAAGCTTTTATATTGAAGTTTCACTTAAAAAGAGGCCTATGTGTACCAATAGATAAGATAGATCGGTAAGTTATAAGAATATACACCTTTAATGAACGTTCTACCCTGAAGAGGAGGAATTCGTAAAAAGCCACAAACAAGCAAAAGACGCAAGAGAGGTGTAAGCTACATTTAAAGGTGTCTTTAAACTTACTTCGTACGACAAGCCTTGCAGTTTTTTCATCTTTCCCCAGGATATTTTGTGCCACGCATTTGTATTTCCCTGAGTCGCTCGTGCGAACCTCAGTTATCTGAATCAGACCGTCTAAGCGCACTTTGGTCCTGTCACTTGGTAACGATCCATTGACCTTTGACCACGATATTTGGGCGGTGGGATTTCCAGACGTGGAGCACAGGAGTGAGGCTGTGTTGGTTTCATTGACAAATAGTTTTGGGGGAGTAATTGCTACTTTTGGACTCGAAATAGATTCACCTGGTTCACCTTTCAATCCTGGCATACCAGGCTTACCCGGTTGCCCCATGTCACCTTTCATTCCATTTTCTCCTCTCATCCCTGGTGGTCCCATGACTCCTTGTTTTCCACTTTTTCCTGGTGGTCCCATGAGTCCTAGGGAACCTTTCCTTCCTCGCCTTCCCTTATCACCTCTGGGTCCAGCTCTCCCTGGAGGCCCCGGCCGGCCACGAGGGCAAACATTCGAATTGCCTCTGTTTTGATAACTTTTCCAAGTAGAAAACACAATTTCCTTTAGCATTTCGCTTATCTGAGCTGAATTATTGAATGGAGACGATTGTGAAATACTAGGTTTACGTCGATGGATTTCAAGTTCGCCAGAGGTGGTGGGTACAACTGAAAATTTATCAAATAAAGATGATAACTCAACAAGACACTTCCTTGTCCCCATTAATAAGAAGATGAAAATCGATCTTTTTGACATGGAGGACAAGTTGCGTAAACTTCCAAGACAGGAAACGTAGTGACAGAATGCACATTTGCTTTTCTGTCAGTCCAAGATTAAGGGCCTATCTGCACTAGCAGACAAAACTAAAATTGTTCCGACAAAATCAATGGACAATTTTTGTAAAGACAAACTTTTGTCTCCACTGTTACATCCGTACTAAAAGTTTCGAAGCTGTCAAAGCTGTCAAACTCGGTCAACGGGCAAAAATGACACCAATCTGGCTATATTTCATTGTAATTTATTCAATGTAGCTTTTCTTTTCCCTTTGCTTCAAGAAGGCACTTTTGGATCTTGTGCCACCTCTACGGCTTCATTGTTGGACTGGTAAAGTGGCGACTGGATAGTCACTCCACCGTTGTAACTTGCCCCGGCTGTATGCAAATTGTTCCCTTGATTGTCATAAGGTGGGACATTCCAGCGCCTAATTATATAACTTGTTCATAAGAGTTGCAGCTTTAATTTTCGAATGGATTTAAACTTCAGTTACCAAGATTCATCTTAATTTGTCTGAATATGTAAAGTCCGCGAGTTTCGCAACGAAAGACAATCACTGCAATCTTTGGTAAACTGAACTCAGTTCAATAGACCAATTTCGATATATTTCAACGTGAGAGACTGGTAGCGAAACTTGAACACCCAAGCGAGGCTCCGGGGAACAAAATTCATTCGAATGTAGCTTTGGTTGCTCACATCTTCAAGCAGAAACTGCTTTCTTGGGTTATTATCGTTTTTCTATTGTAAATTCGTAGTTTCTTGGAGTTGAAATTGAATCGAAGTAATCATCGTTGTCATGGCCACGACGGAAAAAAAAGAGGTGACATCAATCTACAATACTTTCAGGGTCAAAAGTTGCCGTGGTTGCGAAACTTCCTTCAAGGAAGAAGGGTACAAACATCCTCGTAAGGAAAGTGTAAAAGAAAGGCCGAGTTGGTTGAGCTTGCGTTTAATGCTCATTCAATGAAGCTCCCGAAAGTGACTGAAGGGGAAAGTGAAAATGAAAATCATATCATGGCCGAATTACTTGCCACAGACGAGGGTGTTTTGCCAGACCCTGCATCCATATTGAAATNAAAAAAAAAAAACCGAGAATATACCCTCTTTATCAATCGCACATGGCCATCCTTGCAGTGTTTGCAGTGGTGTGTTTGTTTTTATTATTCGCGCCGTATTCCCCGGAGCTTCGCTTCGGTGTTGGAGTTTCGTCGCCAGTCTGTCACGTTGAAATATATCGAAATTGGTCTGTTACCACTGTGCTGTTAGCGTTTACGACAAATGATCGACAAGTTTATCACGGTTTTATTTATTTAGTCAGTTTTTCCAGGGTTTTACCCGGGACAAGCTTTGTCGGCGGTGCGTTTGAAAATTTGTCCGCTTCGACCAAAATTTGTTTCAGTCGCGACAAGCTATTCGCACTTCTAGAGTGTTGGCGATGACAGAAAATTTGTCTAAACAAATATTTTTTTCGCTAGTGCGGATAGGCCCTAAGTAAACAATGACAACTAGTTCAAGTCCTGTTTATCTACGATTTTATCTCTCCCTGTAAGAAAAACAAATCCGAATCAAGTTATGAAACCTTTATACGTGCAAGAGTTGACGAGTTTTGATGCCTCCTTGACAATGCAATGGGAAAGGAATCAAGTCTGTTATTTTCATCAGCGCCAGTTTGAAATAGCTGCTAGTTGACCTTGTGAGCCTCTGCGTTTTAATTCTTGGCAAGGGCTGTAACAGATTCCGTAAGGGAAAACCGAGATTGAGTGAGATGCAGTAGGAATAATTCATATCGTTAGCTGACTCTTTGTCACAAGATATGCGAAGATATCTACCTTGTGTATTGAAGGCAATTAAGAACTTCCAAGCCGCATTCTTTGTGATAAAACCATGAACGGAAGTCGAGACATGACGATAAGCTTTTGAATACTTCTGACTATAAAATTTAATTATTTACCAGCCTAGAGTAATTTGCAACTTAAAGTCATCATACGAATATCACTTTAAATGAACATGGTTAACGAAGAACAAGAAAACCACGTATACAATTTAGAGACAGTTGAATATTACCTTGTTCAGCGGCAGGCAAATCCGTCCTCGACTCTTTCATTTTATTTTGAGGCATGAATTCCTCCACTGTTATTAACCTCCGTTCATAATTATTGAACTTGGTTTCGATTCGAATGAATCCAGCAGAATAAAGAAGCAGACTGAAAACACTCAGAACTGTGCCGGGGCTCACCGGACAAGAACGGTCTTCAGAAAGAGACATCACGAACGTGTATAATCAACAGCGCTCTAAAACAACTTGTTACGGCATATTCTTGAAACTTGACCTTTTAAGAATTTGATAGCATTTCAGTTCAGAAGGTCTGGGAGGAAGTCACGCAACCCTATGCAATAACTGCGAGAAGTGAGAAGTGAACCTTGGCATGAAAGGTAGAGACATCTAAAAATGCTGAGCGATCAAAGATGATCAAACACATCTCGTTTATCTTTTAAAGCGTTCAGACAAGTAATACTAACATAGTTCAAACATTACACCAACATGCTCCTGAAGGGGGCATTGGCATTTTCGGTTCCGCGGTTTTGGCTACTTTTTATATCGGTTTTGTCGTTTTTTGGGTTTTGGTGTTCCTTGTGGTTTGTAGATTTTCAGAGTTTTAGCATGTGGTTTTCGATTTTCGTCAAAAATACTAATAGGTTTTCGAATTTGGTATCCGATGTGGGTTTTGATTTTTTTCTTCTCAGTCTAAGAATTGGTAGTTCAGTTCAAACCAAGGAGGAACCTTCGGCTCACTTTTAAAGACACTTTTGTTTGTTTTCGGCTCTTCAAAAGATGACAATGGTTTTGAAAACAATTTGACGATAGCTGGTATGTATATGTAGATGCGAGATAATATTACTTAGCCTCATTTTCAACTCGCTCTTTCACGCTAAATATCGCACTTCGTTAACCAATTAGTAAGCGAGGTTTAATTCAATTTTGTGATTCTTCTTGAAATTTTGCGGTAGCTCTGGCTCTTCTGAACAATGATTTCCCCATACCACTTTTCAAAGACGTCTTCCTTTCAGCACAAACGACAAACGAGAATCTCGATCATATGAACCTAGAAGAAATGACATGACTTTGCATAACTCCATTTAGTCTCTCAGTGACTGCAAGGCGGCTTTTCATTTGGATCTTGCTTTTTTCTCTTCTTCAGTGTACCAGACTTAGAAGAGTCTTAGTTGGTGGTCGACCACCGCTATCGTTGATTCAAGCTAGCCGTTTGAATAATTAAACTGTGTCGGTTGTTAAAGGGTTTCTAACACCACTCGAGTTTTGTTTAAAATACTGCAGTAGTCTCAAGACTATTTCCTTCTTCGTATTTTAATGACTTCGGAACTGTTATTTTCCATCACTTTATCTACTAAGGGAATATATAACATTTATTATTTTTTTAAAGCTTGCGTAATCGTAAGCATTTGTTCGACCGAAAAATTAATTCCAGAAAGATTTAGGTTAGGAGCTAAACGTACCTGGACACCATTGCTGACAGTTGTTGAGTGAGAATATATGAACTCGTCCTGCAAAATGCTCAGCGTGTGTCGATTTCTAAAACGCATGACTTACGTCAAATGCATGATACGAAAACGGTATGGCTAGATATTTATTTTTAAAATCTTGCCTTATTTGTCAAACTTCTGTTGCTGCTATTGAACTCATTCTTTAGCATAGATATAGACTGTCAAAGCGAGGATTACCTAAGCGAATTTAAGCCTTACATGATTTGAAACTAAAAAAAAAAAAAAAAGAACTCTAAGCTATAATTTGCATACATGGCTTGAACGTTTTGAAAAAATCTTGTAATAGAAAATACAAGCATTGTGTGGTTTTCTCAACAGACTGATAAATGAATGAGATCTCTGATCCTTTCCCCACTTTGTTTCCTTTATTATACACCACAGTTTAATGGAAATCTGAATTCTGTTTCTGATAGGCGTTCCTGGTTATCAAATTTTTTTTGGGCATCGACAGCTCATATAACTTTTTCATTGTCGCCTTTGTGCACTGAGATAGATGGGAAAAATACAGTTAAAAGTTGCCATCATTTTCGCTCGAATATCTCAACTCTCAAACATGGATATTCATTATATGTGACGGGATAGAAGCGAACGTATCATTCTTAGGGTAAATCTTAAAGCTCGAAGGGGGTGATACGCTTTTACATGCGATTACCATGGAGCGAAAAAAAAAGAAGGAAAGCATGTTAAAAAGATACAACCTACTTTGAATGACAAGACGCGGTTTTTTCATCCTTTCCCAGAATACTTCGCGCCTCGCATCTTCAAAGCCGACATTAGTAATCTGCATTAAGCCATCTGACGTCATTTTGGTCCGGTCACTAGGCAACAATGCATTGGTCTTTGTCCAAGATATTAGAACAGCGGGATTTCCAGAAGCAGAGCATAGAAGCGAGGCTGTATTTGTTTGGTTGACAATTAGTTTTGGTGGAGAAATTGTCACTTTTGGAGCCGAAAGAGACTCTCCTGGTTGACCTTTAATCCCTGGGATACCAGGCATACCCGGTGGCCCCATATTCCCTTTAATTTCCTTTTCTCCTCTTACTCCAGATGGTCCCGTCTTTCCTTTTCTTCCGCTCCGACCAGGAGGTCCAATAATTCCTCGGGAGCCTTTCGTTCCTTTGTCACCCTTTGGTCCAGCTTTCCGTGGAGGTCCCGGCCGACCACGAGGGCAAACATTTCACTGTCCTTGGCATTGACAAATCTTTAAAGTGGTGGAGATTATG